GGCTAAACCGGAACTGACGCTAGCATCTCGTTGTGGAATGCCGGTGGCAGTACCATTCGGTAACACTCCATCACTTGTGCCGAGCGCTTGCTTTGAGCATCCAACTCCTCTTGCAATCGTTTGTTCGGTGGATGTTGGTGTTGAATCTAGGAAACGTACTCTGCTTATTGTAAAACATCAAAAAATGCTTTGAATGTGCTGTTGGCCGAAAAAAACCACAACATTCCAGCCCTTGCTTTTCCTCACATTCTTCTGTTAATATATTCTTGCGGGTCCACAACAAAGGGAAGCCGCCAACCAAATTTTTACGATCGTTTGTGGTTATTCACTACAACGGAGCTGATGTAAAAAATCGCCGGCGGTCTCTCGCTCTTGCCTATTTTTGCTTTACTTTATTTCGATACATCAAATATACAGTGGTTTATTTATAATTAACTGTGACTAACTATGTTTATAACTAGCTACACTGATGAAGCCACATCAAAACATGGTGTTCTACTATTCTCTATTTATATCCTGAAGTCGAAACAGGAACACCATACGCACAGCAAACGCATGCTCTCCAAATTTTTTGCCACTTTTATTCGTCACTACTTTTCATTATTATTGTTTTTCATCATTTGAATTATTATTTGCATTATTATTGTTGTCATTATTATCATTATTGTTATCACTGTTATTGTTTTCGTTTTATTATTGTTTCTTTCATTTTCGATTTGTGTTTTTCTTTTCGATTCAAGCATTTTCGAAGTTGTTAATATATTTCGTTATTTCCAATTCTGCGATATTTGTTGCTGAAAGTTTCTTAAAATTATTAGCTTAACTTAGGATCTGGGGTCTTGATTTTGCATTTAACGCGGTACTTCCAGCACGAATCTAAGATTATCAGAATTACAGTTCGGCTTCGACAGGAGCCACAATACAGTTCATTGCAAAGTACTTTACCCCCTTGCTTGTGACGGTAGTTATGTAGCAACATTATCACTAATAGCTTTCTATCTGCGGTTCTAAGAGCGAACGATGAAAAT